TTGTAAGGACTGTTTCTAATGAGACCACTCTCATTTTTGGACACACCACACACACACACACACAATGCTTGATGGTGTCCTGAAATCAGTGTTTTTCTTTTTATATCTCATTTCAAGTTAGGAGTTGTTAATACTCTTGATTGTGTATTGTAATTAATATTAGCAATTTCATGGACAAATAAAAATTAATGATGTCATGGCATTATGGACATGGCTAACTTACAGATAGAACTTGTGATTTTAACCAGAATGTAAGAACTATTACACTGTTCTCATCCTCACCCAAACCATTAAATATAAAAGTTTAAAATACTTTATAATGTAACAATTTCAGAAAATTCCCATATCCATTGCTTTCTCAACCAAACTCAGGAAATAGATTTGCACATGAAGAAGGATATAAATTGATGCAATTATTACTTCTAATTTCTAACAGAGACCAGAAGTGGACTGTTTAACTTTAAAATACATTATGCATTCCCATAAGATTACAAATTAAAAATAAATGACATAAATCAAGTGGGGGAAGATAACAAGCTAATAGAAGAGCAGTCAGAGAAGGAAGACAAGGGTAAACTCTGAAGTAACAGAGTAATTTAGAATGACTAAATGCAAATCATAGCAGAGTAATTTCTTTACAGAAACTAAGTAAGTTGAGTAATTCCTCACAGATGACAGAACAACACAAGCAGAATCTGAAAAAAGAAGTACACAGGATGTTTATAAAATTACTATTTGTACTTTAGAGTAAAGTTTATCCTAATTGCAATATTGTTTGTATAACAAATCAAAATATGTGTTGAATATTTTCAGGATTTAACAATCAAATATGCAGTTTTAAAATGAAATTTGACAGCTACAGGTATGAGGTTTGGTGTCCTTTTATTCAAAAAGCTTACCATTGCTCTGTGGAGGCTGAAATGTGAATGAAGTGCAAGGTAGATGTTGCTCCTTGGAACCAAGCCATGATTCTTTAGCTGACACAGCAGGCTGTGACTGCTGCAGTGAAGTGACATTATCACCTTTTTCCTTCCTCTGCTTTGGGCAGCTGAGCAGAGAAGGCATTCCTGATTTCTTGGGAGAGGATTAGTAAGCAGGAATCCCCAGAAGGTCTGTGCTTTGGCTGAAGCACAGGGAAAGGGAAGGGAACCTTCCTGCACAACGAAGGCTCTTGGATGAGATTTTTCACAAGTGCTTTTCTCTGTAACTCACAGCAAAGCAGCCACAGGTAGTGAGTGGGGTGAGACAAGCTCCCACAGCAGGTGACTTCTGAGAGAGCCTCTGATGGAAATGTACCTGCCCTGGTCTCCAAGCCTGCTGCTGATGCCCAGGTCACAATGCAAGTGCTGCCAGAAACACCTCTGGAGCAGGAGAGGAGTGTGCAGGGAACAAACTGGTGCTTAAGGGCCAGCAGAAACTGGCAGGACCCCCTGCCTGAGGAAGCCAGGACATGCTGGACATGGCTGGAAAGAGCCTCTGATGGCAAGGAGCCAGGGGGTAACACGCCTCCTACTCCTAGGGTTAAGAAAATTATTTTAGTTGTATAGATCTTGTGTTGGAAGAAATATTTTTTCCAAATATCCATGCAGGACCTATTGAAAATAAGAAATTCAAGGTCCTGCACATTTACAGCTAGATTTGAGGTACTAAGAAATATTGCTGATAGTCCTTAAGCTATTAACAAACCTAATACTGCTGCCTACTTTTAATATCTGGCTGCTCTGGATCTCTGGATTTTTGGCTCTTTTTACTTTCTCACACTGCTGCCTCTCAACCCCAGTGCAGGGCACCACCTCTGACATACTGAAGTGAGGATTTTCAGCAAATTCCAGTTTCTACTCAATTACTCAATTCTTTTTTTTTTGTTTTTTTTTTGTTTTACAGATAAGAGCAAAACAAAACCCAAACTACAAATAAAAGCGTGGACCATATAATTATGTTCTTAATGCCATTTGCTTTCATAAAGGAATAAAATCCCACACTTACAGGCAACTATCTGAAATGTGAAACAGAGCAGTCATTCTACAGAGCTCAAGAATATTAACATAATGATACCTCAAGGAAAGTGAAAGAAAATATGGTATTTAATAGAAATTGCTAGGATAATGCAATTATTTGTAATGAATGAATGGAATTTTTATTTCTGAGTGTCAAGACTTGGAACATTCCTCTTTCCTTCTGGTAACTTCAGTTTTTTAATAAGAAAAGTCAAATAGGACATGAACTGGTTGAAGGATGACAGTTCCAGAAACAGTACTGGGTAGCTTTTTTTGGGGACATTTGGTCAGAACTGACTCAAAGGGACATTTCCTACCACAGGAACAATTTAATGGCATGGTTCTGAGCTCTATAGATCCTTTACTGTCCACAACTTAGTCTAATATATCATTTTAGATTAGGTTTTGAGACACCATATACTCATAAGTACTGGCTTCAGTTCTTCATTACAAACCAAAATTTTACTACGCTAAGTCAGCCTACACAATGTCTTTGATAAAATGCCAACAAAGAATGATATAGTATCTTGGCCCCACAGCTTGATTACAATCAATCTTCCCCAGGGATGTGATCACAGCCCCAAGCCTGACAGAGTTCAAGAAGTGTTTGGATAAAGCTCTCAGGCACCTGCTGTGATTCCTGGGAATGTCTTGTGCAGGGATAAGAGCTGGACTCCATGATCCTTGTGGGTCCTTTCCAACTCAGCATATTCTGTAATCACTTGAAGTCACTAAGGACTATCACTGAACTCAATGGTAGTGTTGAGACACTATTATGGATAAGAGGCACCAATTACCAGTCAGACTTTGAGATTACAAAATTATTTATGCGGCAACAAATTCCCCTAGGATCCATGGTGTTGATGCTGGCAGATACTTTGCCAACAACTATTTGCACATTGGTTACTGTGGGTCACCGTGGGTGCACTAGAAGTGTGAGAAGGTTAAATTTACTTCATACACCAGTTGTATCTACCAGAAGAAGCCACAGAGAACTCCTGCTGTTTGTACCTGAACCTCCCCAGCAGGGATGAAAGATCTACCAAGTACATTGGCTATGATGAAACACAGCAAACCAACTTTGGCCAAGAAAAGTTGCTGCAGAGGGAAATAACAGCTCCAAAAACATTAGTTCAAAAATGAATTCTTAACTATTTATAAAAAAACCCCAAAGCAACCAAACCATACTAGGTAATCTCATTGGTGAGAAGTGGATACGTTGGCATCATGCTTAAATATGATTGGTGTTGGTTAAATGTATCCTCCCTAATCATGTTAGCACTTCTTAACATTCAAGGGGATTAATTTTTTCCCACTGAGGCTTGTAAAGCATTATCTACAGAAGATCATATTAGAAGGGACAGGAGTGAATTTAAGGCACTGGATTTGAGGTAATTTACAAAACTCATTAAAATTCCAAAGATGCAAAATGGGTATTCTGTGATGGGCTTCTGCAAATCTGGAGAACTGATTCCCACCCCCCATGGGAATACTTTAAGCACAAAGGAAACTCTGCAGCTAGAAACAGAAAAGCTCCATGGCTTAAATGAAAAGTCTGCTTTGTAAATTGAAATATATCATTAGTTTGTGTTTTGCAACTGAAGCTTCTTAAATACCATCTGAGTATGGGAAAGCAAAAGAGACAGCTACATTTTATTTTAGCTGACATTATTTATGCTTGGGAATCGTGAATGGAGAAGTAACTTTAAACAACTGTGGTGACAGCAGTGCAGAATTAAGACAATAATGTGAGAGGACAGAAAAAGAATTATTTTCTCTTTCCAGAACAACTTAGGTAATTCCCTTTTCTCACAATGCTTTCTTTACTGTGTAACCCATAAGTGTTGCTAATGGACTAGCAAAGTTTTAATGGGAAATATTATTTTTGGGGTTACTATTCAGAAGAACTTGACAAAGAAAGCTTTTTGTATTTTTTTTACCCACATCTCTTGATCAAATAGCAAATACCAACTGTCCCCACAGATCATGACTACATATGAAGACCAGAACAGCTATAATTAATGAGGCAATTTATTTCAGTGATATCCAAACTTTGAAAATGAGAGTGGATATGGGCAGAGGTGCCTCCCACACATGCTACAGGTTTTGTCACCCACTGCTCCATCCCAATCTGACAGACAAGGTGGTTCAGTAATATAGGACTAGAACTGTAAAGAAAATTGAGAAGAGAAATAGGAATGAGTTAGAAAAAAAAGCTGTAGGGGATGGTGAATTATAGTCTAGAAACATAAGATAAAAAAACTGCCAATGAAGGGATTAAGGAAGGTAAGACATTACCAGAGCTGGAAGAAAGGAAGATTCTTTCAGTAGATGATTTATAACTAGATTGACAGCCTCTTGTGGAGACATCATCTGACAAACTCTTATTAAACCCTTTCAGTTCTGTATTCCAAAACTCCTGGAAATATACAGGTGGGTTTCTGAAGTCACTGTGTGTGTGTATATAGGCATGGGTGTATCACATCCAGCACACTGAGTCCAATCTTGATTCAGGTATGAAGGTAAGGTGGGTAAGCAGTAGAAATTACTGACAGAATATTCTGTAACACCAGGTAAGGACACTGCATTCACTTATATAAATGTGTCAATTAAAATATATATGGCTTATGTAATTAAAGTAAGATTTAAGATCTTGATGGCTACATTGAATTCTAGAGAGCTGCTAAAATTTGTTAACAGTTAAAACATGGCAAAAGTGGTACCTTGCAATTTGATTTCCCATGAGTGTGGAAATGCATGGCCCCAAGCACAGATAAAAGAGCAGATGAAATTCCATAATAAATAGTACATGGTAATGATTAAAAAAATTACTGACTCCTTTTATCAGCTGAAGGGTTCATCTTTGCTACCTGCTTTCACCACTCACAACAAGGTTTCACCACATTTTGGTGTGGCACGTCAGTAAAGCCTCAATCAGCAGATCAGTAAAGCCTCAATCAGCAAGTTCAGGTCCTTGTTCAGAGCTGGAGGCCACAAACTCACCTGCTCCTGGGTCATCTTGTGCAGCTCCTTCTCCCAAGCTGCCTGGTCATCATCCAGGTGGTAGGAGGCAGGCGGGGTGAGCCCACGCAGGATCAGGGGGTCGCGCTCGTGGCACAGGGCTGTCAGATGGCCGATGTACAACTTCAACTTGCTGCGGTTCTGGTCAAGTTCTAGGAGGGGCTGGATTATCTGAAATAAGAGAGCAGAGACAGTGAGAACAGCCTGGGACCCAAGCAGTGATGAAGGCAAAGATCAGCCTCTAAGTTACAATCTTGTCCAGCTTCACAGTGCATGAAACCTGAACACTCTTTCCCTTGGACTCCTGGTGCATAATGCACCAACCACATAAAAGAAACCAAGGACACTGGGGAGTGGGTGCAATGATGACAGCTGTGTGATTAGACTGGGAAACAATGATGATATGGGTGAAAAATGAAACAATATTACATTGAATGCATTAACTCTACTGATTATCCATCAGTACTTTGGTTTAACTACTTAAAAAAAAAATCTGATAAATGGTGTCTGTCCACAACTTGTCCAAAAGCAATGTCAATACAGATTTTTAGCTGGCTTTGCCAAAAAACATTTCATTGTAAAGTAAGTATGCAATAAACACGTTTTAAAGAGAATTGTTTCAAATTATGCCAAAACACAACAATTCTAAGATGACTGCATCTCTACTGTAGGAACTGGATAAAGACATACCTTCACCAGAAAGTTAAAATTTAATTTTCTATGTTTTACATAGTTAAGGTATAGTCTTCTTTAGTTTTGAAAAGGCAATGATTTTTATTAAACAGGATAGACAATGAAAAAACTATCTATATATATTAGATCTATAGATGTATCTATATCTATATCTACATCACAAACTAAAAAACCAAAATCAAAGGACTTTATTAAAGCACTATTTTGTTTCATTATACTTTACCCAATCTGAATCTAATACGTTGTTCCTCAGTGCAATCCAAACTAGAGTTATCCAGTTCCCACAAAAAGTATCTGAAGAGCCATTTCTCATTTTTTTACAAAAATAGAGAGCTCAAGTGCATAAATGCCTACTGGGCACCCTTTGCTGTGACCTTCCACAAGAATACTGCTTCATTTTTTCTAGATGTTTGTGGGCACATATTCAAAACCACAGTAATGCAAACCTCTAAAGTTTGCAGATTATGAAAAATTAGGGAAGAACTAGGCTTAGGGCCTCCTTTCCATAAAATGAGGTGCTGGGCAGGGAGAGCTGGGAAGCCTTGCCAAAGTCCTAGCAAGTTCCATTCGTGTTCCCAGGCAGAGGCTGCACCTGCTGTTTGTTAGTGGGCTGGGGATATCTTTTCAATAGGACACCTCTGACCCTGCTAATGAATAAGGAGTGAGATAATCTCCGAGTCAACAAAACAGGGTGCTGGCATTACTTTCAACAAAGACTCTGGCTTCGACCCCTTTTAATAAGGCTGTCAGGGCTCACTTATTTTGTTTCCAACGCTGTTTTACATGGATTAGTTTCTGTAGAGTGTGAGGATCTGAGAGGCATGGCTAAGCAGCTGACTGATGTCAGGCTCTGTGTCCTGCCGAGCTCAGCAGCCCACACCAGCACATCAGGGTCCTGCCACACTCACAGCCACGGGAGAGGAGTCAGGCAAGGATCCTGAACCAGAGAGAGTGTGAGCTCACATGCTTTAGTAAAAACCTCTGCAGCCTTGGGGCACCCTCTGTTGTATATGCATATAGAAACACACATATAAAAATAATGCTGTGTTCTATCAGGATGGGATGAGTGGACAAGGAGGTGGATGGACAGCTGCTGAAGGGCAGATCCCAGAGGGCTCTAATTAGTGGTGCTGGGTCTAGTTGGAGGCTTGTCACTAGTGGTGTTCTCCAAGGGTCAGTGCTGGGCCCAGTATTGTTTAACTTATAACCAATGACTTGGATGAAGGGGCAGATGGTCCTCAGCAAGTTCACTGATGACACAAGGCTGGCAGGAGTGGCCAATACCCCAGAGAGTTGGGTCCCTTCAGAGGGACCTTGAGAGGTTGGAGAGATGGGCAGGGAAGAAGGGTTGAAAATTCTGCAAAGGCGAGTGCAGGGCACTGCAGCTGGGAAGGAATAACCCCATGTACCATCAGAGGTTGGGGCTGACCTGCTGGGAACAAGCTGTCCATGAGCTGGCAGTGTATGTACCCTGCTTTCATACAATATCTGTTACCAACATTATGATCTCAAAATGTATTGCCTGTGCAGGTGAAAACAAGTGATGCTTCTAATTTAAAGGATGTCTTTTCTATCTTTCTTACTATTTGGTTTGCCCACAGAGGGTAAAACAATGGCTTATCACATCTTAAGAAAATACTGTTCTATAGAAAAGTAATAGTCAATGTCTAATAACTAGTCCAATCAATGTAGTAGCTGCCTTGTATTCTTTTCAGATATCACAGTCTCTCCAATATCCATCAGATGTGCAGATTCCAGTCTGAAAAGAATCTGTTTGGATAACATTCCTGGCTATTCTTTGTGAACAGAAACCCTCCCTGATGAAGAGAAAGCAGAGCTATCTAGCAAGTAAGAATGGAAGATTTTCATAGAACAGTTGAATTTGACTGCTCAGGGATAAATCCCCTTTCGAAGCACATTCCTCCTGCACCCTTCCCCCTTTTACCTCGAGCTGGAAAGAGACCAAATGAGGCGTGTGAAAGTTCTTAACCAGCAGCCCCCTAAAGCTGTTCACAGAGCAATCATTCCCCTCACTTGGGATCCATTAAAAGCTGCCAGTCAAGTAGGAAGTGCCCTTATATCTGTGTTCCTGCCCTATCTCATCTGAACTGGCCACTTAGCAGGAGGCACTGTGCTTCCCACACAGCAGAGCTGACCCTGCCTTATCTCAAGAGGGTGTAAGAGCATTTGCTAAGTGGAAAAGCATGGCAGAGCTGGGTTCATAACCCACATCGCGTTCTCATGCTCAGCTCAGAGCTTTCTAGGAAAACAGTGGGGAAACAGACCAAACCCAGGAATATCTTCTGAAGCAGCCCTCATTCATTAATGGACCTGATAGGTTTAGGCCATCCTCATCAATGCATGGAATGAAGCCTGCTTAATGTACCCTCAGCTTCAGAATATTGCTAATGGCCAGCTAAGTTTGACAACATTTCACTAAAAAAGGCAACTCAGAGGCAGAAATGTTAAATGCCTGAAAAATCTCTCATGCAAACCCAAACCAACTCAACAAACTAATAAAGATACTTGTGAATATATTCCAAATTCAACTTGAGATTTTGTACATTTAAAAAAAATTTTTTGGCTATGATAAATACGAATCTAACTATAGTTATACAAGTCATTTGGGCAAAAAAGCTTTAGAATGAAGTGATACTGCTTCTTCAGTGGTGGTTCTACTGTTGCTGGACAATGGTCAACTGGAATATGGATAACCGAATTTCAAGTTTTATATGCTAAGTCTGTGCTTTTAAATATCTATATATACACAGCAGTGTCTACTGGAAATATACAAAAAATACATAAGTGGTTATTTGGAAAAGAAAACCAGCAAAAGTCCACAGACATCTGCAGAATGAAGAGTGAGTTTAATCAATGTGCAATTCACCACAACCACCAGCTTTAAATTATGCCTTCTCCAGGCAGAAGGGTTAATGACCTGGTCACCTTTCTCCCTGCTAACAAGCCCTTTTTTTCTCTGAAGGAAGCAACCACTTTTCTTTTTCAGAACCAAGTACTTAACTTTATTAATTTCAGAGAATACCTTCTAAATTTCTACTTTAAAAACCTGCAGCTGCCATTTTGAAATAAAGTCTTACAGACACCCCTAAAAGCCTGCCTGTTTTTGCAACTGCATCAGTCGACCTTGTAAAAGTTCTCTCCTTACACAACTTGCCTTACTCATTAGAATAATGCATCAGTGTGGAGGTTGATCATGGATCAACAGCAGTTATCTTTAAAAAAAAGGGAGAAAATAACATTTTTTGATACAGCAAGGGCAACATAAAGTGCCATACATACATTTGGCACTGGCAGGAGTGCTGCCATACCCCTCTATTAGCCTGAGTGCCTTGTTTGCACATTGTGTGTCTATATCCACTACAGAATCCTAAAGGGCAGAGTGCTGCTGGTCAGTGCTCTTCATTTTGCAATCAAATGCTTCAGCAATTTTTCTTACCTTACCCCTAAATGTCTAAGTATCTGAGAGAGAAAAAAACTCCCTGGAAGTACAGCTGTAACAGGAAGAAAATAAAATAGAACTGACAAGTAATCTCAGGGGTCAAAGTAAAAAATGTCAGGTAAAAATGACAGTGTTTTTGTATTAAAAGTGCTACAAAGAAGTGTAGGTGGAATAAATCTGAAAGTTTCCAAGGAATTAAGCAATTTCAGAAACAATCTAGCTTGTCAGTCTGGTCTACACACCGTGAGTGTTCATTGTAAGTCCTGCACAGAACAAATAAAGAAGGAATTATGAAAAATCCAAGCAGAAACCCAAAGTACCACCAAACACCTCCTCAAAACTTCAGACTGGACATAATAAATTCGTTTGGAAACACAGTGCAGGTAGTCCTTTATCTCCTATCAACCACATCTGCCATGTCAGTGTGGAAAATTATTTGCAAACTTTGTTACATGCAGTTGCAACTATGCTACCCAAAAAAAAAAATCTACTTCCCAAACTACCATTCCACAGGAGAAGATGGGGCCCAAGATTGTGTAAGCACATATGTTTGTTAAAAAGCAATTATTTCAAAAGGACCTGACAAATCTCTGTATACCTCCCTGTATCTGGGTTTTATTATACATATTGCCAGACAGGGATATTTTGCCTCTATAGCTAAATATCTTATGTTGGGAGATATGAAAATAAACTAGTGATAAAGATAGTGAGTGACACAGTCTGGAAGTATTTGCATGGCAAATTGAATTATGCCTTCTTGCTCAGACCATTTGTGTTTGTTTGGCAACAAACACAAGGGTTCAACAATAATATTGTAACCACTGAATGCAATGGAGTTTTACGAGGCATGAATTTGGCTCAGAATGTGCAAAGCTTTCCCAAATTCAGAGCAATTCATCACCGATGTCTTCCCTTCATTATTTTAAATGGAAACAGAAGAAAGTTCTCAAAAAGACACATCTTGACCTCAGCTCAGTTCAGCTCAGTTCACAGATACATGGAGATATTTGGTTTCTTC